TTTCTCTGTCTTCCTTTAACACTGCCAGTAAATGCCCTCACTGCTGGGTGGCCACCGAGTGCCACAGGGTCTCCTCGAGGAACAGTGCTCTTGGGTGCCAGTGCACCCAGTCGGCTTGGTGTGCTCGAGTGGAGACTGCGTGGCCACCTCCTCAAGCTCCACGGCCAGCGTGTCTGCACATGTGCGCGGTGTGCGGAGGCTGAGCTCATGAGTGTACCGAGGCCGACGCCGATACTGGATGTCTTCACCGTTCCCCACCTTACTTACTTACTTATTTGTTTAGGATTTATTTTTATGTGCGTGAGTGTTTGCCTGTATTTGTACCTTGTATGTGTTTGGTGCCTGTGGTCAGCAGAGGGTGTTGGATACTGAGATCTGGGTGCTGGGAGCTGGACTCAGGTTCTGTGTGAGAACTACAATTCTCCATATCCTCCACCCTGACTTTTGAGATAGGGTCTCCTAGTGAGCTTGGAGCGCATTGGTTTAGCTAGAGCCTCTGGACTCTGTCTCCCCTTCACCCTCGGTGCTGGAGTTACGCATGTGTGAGATGTGTACCATCACCTCTGTCTTTATATGGACGCTCTTCTCTTAAACCTGTCACGTGGGCCTGGGGAGATGGCTGAGTGGGTAAATGCCGCCCATGCAAGCTTGTAGACTGGAGTTTAGGTTCCCAGAAACCACAGAAAAGCTGGGCAGCTTGCCTGAAAGTCTAGCTCTCAGGAGGCAGGTACAGAAATCCTGGGGCAAGAGTAGCTAGACTAGGTGTGTCATCCAGCACCAGGTTCAGTGCTCTCAGTACTGAACTGAGAACCAGAGAGCAGATTTACCCTACCTCAGTAAATGCAGGCAGAGTGACCGAGGAACATAGACACCAGCAGCCTCTGGCATTACCCTACCTCAGTGAATGCAGGCAGAGTGACTGAGGAACATAGACATCAGCAGCCTCTGGCATCTGCATGCCACATGTGCACATTTACCCACCCACATGGACATAGCACACACATGTACATATACCCACCCGCATGGACATAGCACACACATGTAAACACACATGTCGCACATGCACGGAACCCCTGCTCCCACATAGACATCATGAACATAAGAAGCAACAACACCCTATTGTCTAATTTTGAAGTTCACATGACCAGTAATCAACTCGTTCACCTGCCCGGGTTCCATTGAATCGTGGTACTTTCCCCACTCTGGTGTTGGTGGAGGTGAGGGTTGGAGTTGGGCTGGGGCCTGACAGAACCAGAGAGCAGTTTTACCTTCATTTTGAGATTTTTTTTCCCCCGTTGTTGAAAAATTAATGTTCAAAAAAAAAAAACTAATCTCAAAAATCCATTTCAAATTAATATCATTAAAATTGTATTTGTTTGTAGCTAGAGGAAAACACATCATTAAAAAGATAATAATTTTTCCATAAAGCAAAGATAATAAGAATACTCAGTATTGGTAAGAATATATTGAAAGAATTATGCAAACCTTATCCAGAAAGAAATTTTACAGTATGAACCAAATGCACACTTTTTATTTAGTATATTCTCAGAAACAATTTTAAAGAAAAATCATTCAGACACAGATTCCTTATCAGATTTATGTCTAAAACTGTCCACTGTGGCAGTATTTATAATAGAAAAGTAGCTGGGATAAAGACAGTGCATGCACTAGCAGTGTGGAAGTACAGTGGATTGGGGGTGTGGAATGTTGCTGGCCTAGGACAGCATCACAGAGCAGCAAGAGAGGTGAGCCAGAAATAGTAAGTATACATGGAGAGTGAAAATATGAATTTTGATGGACTTTTTAATGAAGTATTTGTTATATTTGAAAGTACGGACCCATGGTATGAGCCTATCACATGACTTAGTGTTACATGCACTAAATTCCGAGTTATACCTCTCCCTCCAAAAGAAGCAGGTGCATTCTATGTTAGCAGAGTGACATATAAGGTAGAGTTATAAGCTGTCTTTAGTTTTTATTTACATATTTGCTCCCTTCATCAATTTTGTATAAAGAATTATTTTGCATTTGTAAAACCTGTGAAGAACATTAAACAATTTTATCAAAACAGTATCAGTGTTAACCAACTTGGCTTTAAACCTTTGTCTTGTTACAAATTTACTCCTGTAAATTGTTTTTTGACCTCCACAATCCTGCCTTGGCAGATGTGTGGCATACATACACATGAAATAAAATACAAAACAAACAAAGTGACCAAGAGGATTGTTACTCTTATGGTAATTAGCTTCCTAATGGTAAAAGATCAGCAACAAGCCAGATGAGGGAACATTAAGGCTGTAATTAAATGATTTGGGAAGTTAGAAGGATGATCAGGACTTTAAGGTCATCTTCAGTTACATAGCAAGTTTGAGGCCAGCCTGGGCTTCATGCTCCCCTGTCTCAAAACAAACAAACAAACAAACAAACAAACAAACAAACAAAGGCAAAAGACAAGTGCTGAGATATACTTTGATATGTTGTGAGAGAGAAGAAATGAAACTGAAGTAGTTACTGCAAAACTACTGAGAGGTCTGAACTAGATAGGGTGGGAGTGACTGACCGTTTCAGAGTGCTTTGTGACACAGGGAACAGCTTGGGAAAGACACATTCTGGGAGCAGAAGAAAGGCCAGTGTGGTCATAGTATGGTGAGTCGAGGTGAAACTAGCAAGAAAGGAGGTCGGCGGAGCCAGACCACAGGACAAGGCTGTCAACAGGAGCTGATGCTTACTAATGGCAGATGGTTGGGTGACGTTAAGAAAACTAACCTAACCTACTTGTTTTAAAAAGATGGCCCTAGTTGCTGCCTGGAAAATCATTGTAAGGAGGCAGGATGCAATGACAGACAGATCACTTATGGTGGCAAGAATTTGTGGTGGCCAGAGGGGCTGAGGGACAGAGTTCTAAAACCAGGACAGTTGCAAGTGGAGCCGGTGGCCTTGCAGAGTATAGTCCAGGAAGCAGCAGGAAGGACGGGAGTTAAAGCACCACCAGAGATTTGGATTTGAGCAGCTGCGAAGAAGTGTTGCCATTTATAAAGGTGGCCAAGAGGGTCAGCGAGAGTTCTGAGTTGGCACGTTGAATAAACTATCTGAAGAGAGATCAAGGACACAGAAGGGAACAGAGCTATTTTGTCCACCCCACCCCAGTTTTTTTCCTCATCAGTTTTGTGAAATAAGATTTTCACATTGGTGTACATGGAGCTGTGTTGCTGCCAGCTCTCTGCAGGCTTCCCACGGCTCCCCTGGGAACATGGGCACCTGGGGCAGGTGGCTCTTTGGATCCTGAAGGAGAGAGAACAAACACCAGGCAGGGACCTGCTTCTTTGGGAGGAGCTAAGGTTAACAGAAGAACGCTTTGGTCTCTGTTGACAGGGATGGCTAGTGGTCTAGCTGTGTGGGGGTGGGGGCCGGCCTTTGCTGTACTTGATCAGACAGCTGACTTGACCTTCATAGACCAGATCTCTAGTTGTGGGTTCGTTGTTTTGAACTGATGGTGTGCTGGGCTGGTGTTGGTGTGTCTCCTTCAGCTTTTGTGGAGAGCAGGAGCCCTTATTTTTTGTGCTGAAAAGACTTTGGAGACTTTGGAGTTAGATGAGAATCATTTGTTTACTGTCTTTGGCATAGATATTAAATACTTCCTGTGGGAGACCCCCACCCCCTCTTTTTAAGTTGTGGTTGCTGTTGTGATAGGACAAAATCTTGCTGTGTAGCAGGTTGTCATCAAAATTGTGATCAACCTCCTTTTTCCAAGTGGTGAGATGATTGTATGCATCACCACGTTAAGATCAAAAAAAAAAAAAAAAGATCCAAGGCCTAAACTGTAAAGTTAGTAAAAGGACTGAAGACAGTTGGTTTGTCCTGTCTGTCCAGGCAACTCTGGCCAAAGGCTTAGGAGTTGGGAGGGAAGTTGCCTAGGAATGAAGCGGAAGATAGGCCAGCTTGCCCAGTGGAGAGCATTCTTGGAGGTCTTTGGAAGGAGCTCTAAGGATAAGCTGGCTTGGAATGTGGTGAGTGAGAAGCACAGAGCCACATCTGGCTGATAGGTGGGACTTTGTAGCCCCTGGCTGGCTGTGTGCTGCCAGTGCTGTACTGTGGAGGAGGAGGCTGGCGGCAGAGTTTTGCTCAGACGGTCAGATAAGGAATCCCTGCAGCTGTCTAGGTGTGGATCTTGGGAAAGCTGTTTCCAGGTCAAATGGGGGGGAGAGCTAGGCTAGGCTGTTTAAGAATACCTCGGAGGAGATGGGGCAACGTTTCCTTAATAGTCATATTCGTACCCCGTGGTTGAGGGTTTCCTGGTTATAAAGACACAAAACATGAATTTTTAAAAAAGTGAGATAAGGGATATGGTAATGCCCGTGTTAGGGAGCCTGGAACGATTAGTAAGATAATGTATGTTAAATGTCCATCCAAGGCAGTGAGTTACAGCTGTTATTAACAGATGAAAGTAATGAAAAAATAATTTGATTTAGAGCAGCTGAAGAAGAATTTTAAATAACAAAAGTCATAATATGACCAGCATGTGAGATACAGCTAGACTGAGAGGAAGGAGGAAGAGCTGCAGTAATGGGGAAAGCTAATGTCCAAGAATGTGGGGAAAGGGTAAACCCTTGTGCAGGCATCTCTGCTCTTCCCAGAGTGGCTGTGTGCCACCTGGGCCGCTGCAGCACTCCTGAACTTACTGTTCCCCAGCTGTTAACTGCAGCAAAGAAAAACAAAACATTGGCTCATGCAAAGGTAAACAAAACAAAACAAACAAACAAAAAAAACAAAAAACCATGCAACTTACTTTAGTTTTGTTTGCTTTTGTTTTGTTGGGGGTGGGATAGACAGACAGCTGGCCAGACTTGTTCTTAGCTTATTAGATCAGTTGTCTGGCCAGCAAATTCTTCGCTTGCATTTAATTTTTTGTTTTGATTAGAGTGATACAGAATTTTTAGCTCTTCTTTCTTTCTTTTCTTTCTTTTCTTTTTTTTTCTTTTTTTCTTTTTTTTTTGCCCCAGGTCCAGCAAGACTATGAATCTCTGTTCCAAATGCTTTGCTGGTAAGTGCAGAAAAGGGTTTGGGTGTTTTCTGTTTTTCCCCCTGAACAATTTATTTATTTATTTATTTTTGGTTATTTTAAGATTAAATTCCTTGGCTCTCCTTTGGATTTTGCATGGGGCTTTGTTATCTGTGTGCGTGAAGGCAGATTCTCTGCACTGGGCGCTTGCTTCATGTATTTGCCTAAGATTGCTGAACTCAGCTCTCAGAGGGAAATGGAATTTCATGTGTACTTGCATCAAGTCCGATTTGCTAAACTCTTGGGGTCTGGAGGAATTATAAAAACCGTGTCTGGTTTAGTAGGGTCATGTATATTAATCTCTGATCTTGATTTAAATGATTAATAGTAAATGTTGCTTTACCAATGAGAATGCCACAGGAAGACTATTTTCATGTTGGAGTCAGGAAACGAGTCATGCTGAGTTTAGTACCTTCTAATCAGATCCCTCCTTGAATCATCTGGGGTAAGTCACTTCATCTTTTTGGACTTTAGAGCCATCATTTGTAAACATAGGGTTGGGACATGGTGCTTGCCCAGGACTTTGGCCATCCCACATACTGACTGACTCCTTGAATTATGACTTCTTCCGGAACATAAAATCCTCAATTTGTTTAGAAACAAGTTTATAGCCAGTGATCTTCTATGCTTCAGTTCACCTTACTGATTAGATATGTTTAGTTCCTTGTTTTAATTTAATTTATCAAAGGTAAGGAAAACTGGATGTTAAATAGAGTGTTACAGACTTTTAGTGATTCGCTGTTGGAATAGACAGTATGTATAACATACACTGAGCCAAGTACAGAACGCACAGTGCTGGTGGCACCTTTAAAGGAAGAGGTCAAGAGTGTGGGGACGGTTGACAAAGCAGAGGTTCTGTAGAGATGCAGAGATGAAGTAGATTATAAAGTTAAAAATTAACAAAGCTAACATATGCTGATATACCAACTCTGTGTATGAGCTGGTGGTGAACAAAGATAGGTTTCTGGGTTTCCTACAGAATCTGGGAGATAGACTTGGTAATTACACTTGAAACGTGGTTTTCAGGTTATTGAGAAAGACACTTGGAATATATATATATCAAAAGGGACAGAAAAATTGGTAATTCTCAGTTCATTTTAGTAAATGCTCTGAGAGTGATTAGGACATGCCTTTGAGTATTGACTGGAACAGTGCATTTTTTTGGTAGTTGTCAGATTTGACAGGCAAAGTCAAGGGTGGGGGTTGTGTATGGGGTAATTCTAAGGATGCAAACTTTACTTAGAAGGCTGTGTCTAAGTCTTTATATTGGAGTGTGTCTGTTACAGTCAGGAGGAGCTTAGTCCAATCATAGGGCTTTTATATTGTTAAGTTTTATCTTGGATTCTTTATGCTATTTGGACAAAGAGACCATCATCCTGCAAGCTTTAAACCTTGATATTCACACCTAGAGGATAGGTGGGAATTGTGTGTGCATGTATGTAGGGGTAGGAAAACTGTCAGTTTGCATCTATCCAGAGTTAACAATTTGTCAAATACTTGAAGATTATTAAAGAAATGCAGCATTGTTAGGTTTGAGCTTTGTCCAGTTTTCAGCACATTATACCAGGTTCTGTGGGCACTGTATTCTGTGAGTGAACACTCCAGTAGGACAAAGGAGTGTAGTGTCACAGTTTACAGTAGATTGTAGCTATGTCCTCAGAGTGATCACTATTAGAATCTGTAGTGATCTTCCCTTGAGAAGGCCAGATACCTTTGAATAAGGTGGATCAAGTAAAATACTTAGGAAGAACTGTCTCAAGTTACTGGATGGATATAATGTTTAAAAAGTTATCAACAGTCAGTTGTGGACTTCCTGTTGTTAAATTTGTTACAGTTTTACTTTGGTTATAGTTTTTGTTGCTGCTCTTCTATGTCCATCCTTCTCTTAAGTTTCCTTTAAAAAAATTCTGAGGAAAGGGCCAGGGGTGTAGCTCAGCTGATAGAGCCTGTTTAGTGTACATGAAACACTAGGTTCAACCCCCAGTAAACCAGATAAACTGGACATGGTGGTGCATGCTAGCACGTGGGATGTGGGACAGGGGAATCAGAAACTCATAGTCATCCTTGACGGCCTCCCAAGGCTGAGTGCATGAAACTCTCCTTAAAAGCAAAACAAAACAGATTATTTTCAAGTTTGTAAGGCTATCTTCCTTCTTCCTCCACTAACTACGTCTGCTGTCTCACAGCAAGCACATGGGATGCTGGATCCTGCCTGTGCATGCAGCAGTGGTGTTCTTTAAAAAGTAAAATATCATTAACTTTAAAAAATGCATTTGTGTATTGTTTGGTTATGAAGATAGAAGATCGTAGCAAATACATTATTGAGGTGAGGTGTGTACAAAACAACACGAGGCCTGCTTTGGCCACAGCTACTCTTTATTTTAAATGGTCGTTAAAAGCCACAAGTGGTGGTGAATGCCTTTGGTCCCAGGCAGGCAGATGTCTATGAGTTAGCCAGTCTGGGCTATACAGCAAGTTTCTGGACAGCCAGAGCCACATGGAGAAACCTTGTCTCATAACAGAACAAAGAAGGTGAGCTATACACTTTAAAAGATGGAGATCGTCTTTTATTAAGAATGACTCTTATATGCTGGTAACCCAGTTTTAAAGATAGCAAAACCTTTCTTTTAAAAACTTTTTTTTTTTTTTTAAAAGAAAAGAAAAGAAAAGAAAAGAAAAGCAAGTTTGTGTAGGGTTGGAGAGATTGCTCTGAGGTTAAGAGCACTGACTGTTCTTGGAGAGGACCTGCATTTGGTCCTAGCCTGGCAGCTCCAAACTGTAATTGTAGTTCCAGGGGTTCAATGTCCTCTTCTGGCCTACAAGGGGCACTCAAGTGTGCCCACGCATATATACAGGCAAAATACCACACACATTAAAAAAAAAGCAAAATGTGTGTGTGTGTGTGTGTGTGTGTAAATTAAGAGAAGTGAGAAAGCAAAAGTTTGCAGTCTTGTTCCAGTTGTAACTTTTGGGCAAGGAAAGCTGGATGCTAGTGCGGGGGCTGTCCTCTTCTAGATGGTAAACGCATGATCCCCAGTGTTCAGTGTCACCTTAGATTTCTTCCCCTTCTGTGCTGACTCCTCTCTCCTCTCTTCTCTCTCCTCCTTTCTTCTTGTTTTCTTTTCTGATAGGTTCTTGATGCATAGCTCAAGTTGACCTTGAACTCACTCCATAGCCAAGACCAGCATGGAGCTTGTGATCCCTCTGCCTTCACAGGATGACTCTGCTGACCTCCTAAAATAGGATGACCCTAAGCAGAGAGAGAAGTTCTTAAAGGCTTGGCTGAGATGATTCATTCACCCACAAACCCTCAAACCCGTGCTCTAGTAGTGGATGGAGAATCTGGTGCATCTGGGAGTTTGTAGATGATTTTATTCCCCACACTAAAGATTTGTGTGCAGATTCCTCTTAGGGCAGATGCATATTGGAAGACAAGCATAATCTTTGCTTAGTCTATCATAACACCAGTTGATCTTTGGCTCTTCATATATATATATGTATATGTATATGTATATATATATATGTATATATATGTGTATATGAAATTTTCAGTAATTTTCTTTCTTCTTTGAAACTTTTTATTGATTGTGAGTTTCACATCATACACCCACCCCAGTCCCAGTCATCTTCCATCTCCTCATATCTGCCCTTTGCCCTTGCATCTTTCCCTCCAAAATAAAACACACAACAACAAAGTATAGAAACATCTCACCATGGAAGCTGTGGTGACTCCCGGTGTGTCCCTCAGTACATCCCTCTGTCTGCACATCCTCACTTGAACGTTGCAGTGCTCCTTGCGGTGAGTTGTTGGTCTGGTTTGGGATGTCTGGCTTCTGTACACCATCCGTATTGGATCCTCACGGGGACTTTTCCTAGTTACTGTTGTTGCCTTGCAGCTTTGGAACAGCAGGACTGGCTGCTTCAAGTATCCTGACAGTTCACAGATGACACTGATTTTGGGGTGGGCCATTTATAAGCCCTGGATCTGGACCTGAGCTCGTCAGCCCTCCGGCTCTCCCTTATCTGCAGCTCGAGGGTGAGCTCTCCAGCACTGCTCTGGCTAGGCCACTCAGTGCTGTCCATCAGCAAAAGGCAGAGTCTCTTGCTCTCATTCCCTTAGGGACAGGTTCATGTGTTCCTCAGTCAAGGTGTGGGGACCACTTTCTCAAGTGCTGCAGCCTCTGAGGGACTGGCCCAGCTCTCCTGTTCTCACATCTTTGGACTAGCTCATCTGTGCCTTTGGCATCAGGGCCAGCCCCACTGTGTTTCTTAGGTGATGAGGTGCAGAGCCTGTTCTGCTTGCTACAGCCAGTGAGGAACAGGGCTAACTCTCCTGCTCTCCTGACCTTAGTGGCAGATTTCTCAGCTACTGCAGGTGGCAGGGGGTGCTGAGGAGGAGGGCTTCATCCCCACAGCCATGCCACCTCACCATAAGAGAGCTGGCTCACCTACATCTCCTCCCAGGGCCAGTGCTACCGTGTGCCCAGATGAGGTGCAGGACTCTTGAGTGTTGCAGCAGGCCAGCTCTGCAGACTGACGCAGGTGGTGGGGGTTACGAGGAGCTATCACCCCCGCACCCATGCCACCTCATGACAGAAGACTGGACTCTCACTTGTGTGCTCACCCTTGAGGCTGGATCTCCTGTGCCTCCTTGACCAGGACCAGCTCTACTGTGCTGTCCAGGCAAGGTACAGGGCCTGCTCTTTTGAGTGCTGTATCCAGTGAGTGGCAGGGCCAGCTTGTCCACTCTCATGACCCCCTAGGTCAGCTCTTTCAAGTGCCTCAGGTGGTAAGGGGTGAGGGGGTGGAGGGCATTCCCCATCCAAGGCCACCTCAGGGCAGAGGAGTGCCAGGGCCAGCTCTGGTGCCTCTTGGGGGGCCTCTTGTCCTTGGCTCGTTTGTGCCCCTTAACCAGTGCCAACACTATTGTGCTGCCCAGACAAGGTGCAGGGCCTCCTCTTCCCAGTGCTGCAGCTAGTGAG